GAGACACTGGAGCCTGTGATGGGTTTTCCTGGGGTGCAATGTGGAACTAGGGTACCACTAAGCCCTTTGTGCCACCAACCTGTGCTCCCTCTCACACTGTGATGCTGTGACAAGCTGCAAAGCCCTCCATATCCTGCACTTACACAGCCATCCAGAGACAGGGAAACCCCCAGCAGAGTTACATGAATTCTTCTCCCAGCCACTCATGAACCAACAACAGAGAGGATCCAGCCAATTCCCCCAACTCCACAGCCTTGGACCCTAAGACTGTATCACCCTGTGTACATTTATAATTCAGTCCATTCCTCCCTCAATGTGGAGAAGACATGCTTTTGTACACTGAGCAGATTTCCCAAACACTTCAAGGAAAACACACTGTCTTAGGTAAAATATAAAACAGATTTATTCACTCCAGAAAGACAGATATTAAGTGATTATAAGTAGTGAGCATAGAGATCAAAGTTAGTCACCTAAGAAATAAAACAAATTTGCAGTCTGAGTTCTATAAACTAAACTGGATTTGAACCAGGCAGTGTCTTCCCCGATAGATGGTAGAGTTCCTTAATACACAGGCTGGGATTCTTCTTTGCAGCCTGAGACCACCTCTCCTGTTCACAGTCTTTGTTCTCCAGACGTGCTTCTAGGTGTTGAGTTGTGGGGCCAAGAGGCCAAAAGCCACTTCCCCTCTTTTATAGGTTCTTCCAGCTTGCTGGAAAGATCTTCTATGACATGAGACAAGCCGTGTCCATTGTCGATGGGCTCCCTCTGAGAAGTCTTCATTGTACACAGATCCTGGGATGGTCCTTGGGAGTGTGGATTCCCCTTAACGTGCCATCAGTGCTGTCTGGCTTCTCCATTGTTGTACCTGAAAGGCTGATTGTGGGTGTTCCCAACTTCGCAACATCTTTCAGTGACACACACAGACCAAAACTACTTCACTTCCCGTACAATACAGTGATAGCGCATGCACTCCGACAGGATATTAATGTTCAACAGGGCAAGGCTTTTCGAATGATGGCTAACAAGGCATGTTGGGTACAAAACACAGCATAATGATATCACCATGTAAATATGGGGGTGCCAGGGTACTGGAGCACAGAGGGCCACAGAACCAGACACAGGGACAGAGATGTGAGGCCCCGGGATGCTCTGAAGCTTTATTGGCCTTGCTCCTGAGGCAGAGAATTGGGAACCTCATCCCATCACCCCCAGCATGACAAAAACCAACCCCACCCAGACAGGGCTAACGCTACTCTCAGGGGTCTGCCTGGCCTTTGCCACCTCCCATCCCTCACTGCTGTCTGCCCTGGCCATCACCATGCCCTATCCTTCACCCCCATCTGCCCCAGTGCCCTCGCCACCTCCCATCCTCCACCACGTCTGCCCTGCCGCTTGCAACTTCCCATCTCATTCCCCCGTCTGCCCCACCCCTCCTGGCTCAGCCCCATGGAGTTTCCTTTCAAGGCAATATTGAATAAAGTAGCTGAGACCCACCTCCCCTGCCCCTGGGCTGGTCACGGGGACAGCAGGAGTGGGCACCACCCCTCTGCTGCATGGGAGGGGTGGGGGAGATTGGACCTATAAGAAGAGGGGCTGGGAGATGAGAGCCCATCATTGGGGTCTGGTGTGAGCATCTGTCAGTGGGTGACGGTACCTCCTGCTCCGGCACCATGGAAACCCTGGTGAGTCCCCCATCTCCCTCTGCCCCACGGAAACCCTGGTGTATCCCCCCTGTGCCTTACCTTCTGCCCCATGGAAACGCTTGTGAGACATCCCCCCCACCTCCTGTCCCATGGAAACCCTGGTGAATCCCCTCTAACCCTCACCTCCTGCCCCATGACAACCCTCATGAGGCCCTCCCACCTCCTCCTGCCCCACGGAAACACTGGTGAGGCATCCCCCCACCTCCTGCCCTATGGAATCTGAGGTGAGTCCCCCTTTTTCCCCCCTCCTGGCCCATAGAGCCCCATGGAAGACCTGTTTGCCATTCACACCACATCCCATCAATCTCCAGGGGGTTATCCCGTGCCCCCTCTCCTGTCTGTGGCACATCAGGGGTTAGGTGATGTGGGTTGGGGGGCTCTGGGTCTTTGCCCAGGCTCGGGGGTGCTGACGCTGTGGGGTCCTGTGCAGGTGTCGGGGCGGATGCTCAGGGCTGGACTCCTGCTGCTGCCCCTTCTCCTCTGCTTCGGGCCAGAGACTGTCGGGAGCAGCAACCCCATCACGCTTGGAGAGATTGTGGATCATGTAGATAAGTGAGTGAGGCCCCAGTGGGGCATTTCCCATCTGGCTGTGACCCCTCTGCCCTTCCTGGGTGCTAAATGAAGGAAAAAGGGGGGAAGATGCTTCACGTTTGCCCCCTGTGATGTTCTATGGCACAGGTGGCTCCGTGCATGGCAGAGCTGGGAGGGGTGATTCTGGGGTGCAAGGGGGGAGGGGTGATTCTGGGGTGCAGGTGTAGATGGAGCCTGGAGCTGGGAGAGGAGTAATTCTAGGGGTGCAGGGGGGTGGTGGGGAGGTGGGTCTCATTACGATTGTGAAAAACTGGTTGAAATCTGGATCTCCAATTCCCTCGGAAACTCTGAAATTTCTATTTTCTTTTCAGTACAAATTAATACTAACACTTGAAAACTTCCACGGAATGGGAATTCCAAATTTTGTTTTGGAAAAATTAATAACAGATTTCAGTTAGACCATATCTGAATATTTCATTTTAGAAAGATCAAAATATTTCCATTTCAGCTTCAGCAACTTGACTTTCCTGCTTTATAATATAATATAATATGATAAATGAAAGTCCAGATGTTTTCACCTGTATATTATAAACAGCAATATAACATAATAGAAGTTTAAAAAACGAGTCATAACCAAATGTTTCAATCTAAACAGATTCTTCTAATAATTTTTCATCCGAAAACTACACAAAATTGATGTATTCGCTTGGAACATTCAGATTTTGTTGAATCAGCCTTTCCCTAAGGAAAACTGCTCTGTAGGAAAAATTTTGAGCAGCAGTAGTCATGTGCTTGCTGTACACTCCCTTTGGAATAAATGAGGACAAGATACCTTGCACCCAAGACTCTTTAAAGAACTGGCCTGTAGGATAAGTGCCCCCCAGTATTATCAGGGTGAGGAGGTTAGATTTGGACATGGGAGGCTGAGCATTAGCATGAATATTCATGATAGCGCTCAGGCCTTCTAATAGGACAAGCCACCATGAACCTGGCTTCATTCCCACCCCCTGCTCCGGAGGCTGGGGGTTGCAGAAGGAGGTGGGGGGGGGTCTCAGCTTAGAGGATGAAGGTCTGCAGGGCTAACCCTGTCCCACAGGTGAAACCTGTGCTCCCCCAAGCCCATGCTGTGTCCACCCAGAGCAAGATTCCCTCCCAGTAGATGGTAGCTAAGGCGAAGGTGCACTGGGCTGGGAACCAGGAGCTCTGCTCCCAAGTCTGCTGTCTAGTGCACATCACAGCCCTTGTTACTCATTTGTTATCTGCACACTCTACCCACCTTTACCCTTCTGTGGGCTCAAGGCATAACCTTGTTAATTTAGGCACCCCTGCGCTTTCCCAGTTCCTAGGGCTCAGGGAATAATTTTCTGCAGGTTTGCGGGGCCTTTTACCAGTGAAAGAGCCTTGCCCAGTCATATCCTTAACTTCTATTTATGAACAGCTACCAAAACAGAATACACAGGGGAAGCAGACGATGCTCACCACTCCCAATAAGGCAGAGGAACTTTTCCTGGTGGCCAGTCAGTATCAGGTCATCTGGGGCTCCAGCTGCTGCATTGAGGGCTGGCAGGGTGCTGAGGGCTAGCGGCTCTGATCTTGAGCTGTGCCTTGGAGTTAGTGTCCAAAGAATTTCCTTCCTTTTGGACCCCAGTTTATACAGTGAAACTTGAGTCCTGCTTAGCTGTACCTTTCCCAATGGTAAACTAAAATACTACAAAATTGTGTTTTTCACCAACCCTAGCCCATTACAAAACAATTCTTTACCCAATCAGATCCCGCCAGCTTAGTTGATTTACATCTTGCAAAATTAGTTATGCACCAGACAAAAACCATTCAAGAACCAGACAGAGACCATACAGATAAACAATAGAGAAGTGGGAGACTATAAGGGCAAAACAATAGAAGTATCGATTGAACAATGACAGCTGCTGATAAATGGTTTCTTGCCAGACCGCTGAACGCTGTCAAACAAAGTTTTCTTTAAAGGTCTTAAGAGCCTCGTGATGGTGGGGACTATTAAGACAGAAATGCCTCCTTCACAGCCCAATGTTACATTGTTATTTTATAACGTAGAGAGGATGTGAGGACATGACTCTCTGTTTCCTGGCTCCCGTTGCTAATTGCCGAAAAAGGCCTCAGACCTTACAGATTAGTGCCCTGACCTCAGCCAGCCATGAACCCCCTCAACCCTCCCCAGTCCAGCTGCACAAGGCCACTTCAGGCAGAGGTGGGACAAGAACCCAGCTCTCTAAGAGGGCAGACACAGAGCTTTTCCCAGGGAATGTGCCACATATAGGTGCCATTGTTAGCCTCCCTTTAACCACAGTCACAGTCCCCTCCCAGAGCTGGGGGGAGAAATGGGGGGCCCCGATCTCCAGTATCCTTCAGCTTGCCAGCAAATCGCTGTGTGTCCCGGGGCCAACTGTGTGTCACGTCCCCCTCTTGCGGTGGCTCCGCATAAAAGCTCCGGTTTCTCCTGGAGCTCAAGCGGTAACGCTCGGCCCTGGGGAGCTGACGGACCAAATCTCACACCGTGCTGATGATCCCAGGGGGGCACCTGTGGCAGTTTCTTCTTAAAACCACCCTCCAAGTTTATTTCATTCTCCCAGGGAGCAAACATCCCTCGACCCAGGCTAGAGCCCTGAGAGCCTAGAAGCGGCCAGTGACAGCACCATGTGCGACCCAGCCCAAGTTTGCTGCTCAGGGCTGGGGGCAGAGCTGTTCAGAGCCCCACATCTCCTCACTGCCCTTTGCTTTGCCTTTGCTTAGGGATGGGTTGGCTGTTGAATACGCCTTCGCCGTCAGCCTGGAGAAAGCCAGCTGCGAGAACACATCTAGTCTGGAACAGGTGCTGCTCAGGAACAAGCTGTGGGACATGCAGGCGGCCATTAACCAAGTGGGCGGCCTGCAGAACCCAGATGAAGGGCACATTGTGGCTCCCCGGATGAAGCAGCAGGGTGACCAGAACAGCCCTGTGCAGAAGATCCTGGCCCAGATGTACAACGAGAGAAGCTGCCTGATCTTCTTCACCGTCCACTCGCCCTGTGCGGGGACGTGCCTGCTGGGGAAGAGACCCCACAACATCCTGTGGCTGGTGAGCGACACCTTCCGCCCCATCGACCACAACTACAAGGCCTTCGTCTTCCGGCAGATCTACCGGCAGGACCGGGACCTGGGTCCCAAAAGCCTGCTGGAGGCCTGGCACCGGCTGCCCGACGTGCCCCTGCTGCGCTGCGACACCACGGGCTGCAGGGACTGCAGAAGGAACGACCCCAACACCGACACCAACGCCTGCCTGGACGAGATGCGAGCCATGAGGCAGCCGCTGCACCCACCTGGCAGGGGGCAGGAGAGAGAGCAGGTGGGAGAGGGGAGAGCAGAGGTTGGAGGGGAGAGCAGGGGGCACCTTCGGAGGGCTGGGGAGATGGTGAGGCAGGTGGCTCCATTGGAGGGCTGGGGGGACAGCGGGGCAGAGGGCGACATCGTAACGTTGGGGGGATGGTCGGACAGTGCGCTCCTTCGGAAACGCTGCGGACGCCTTAGGTGGGTGCTGCGCTGGAGTCGGCGTTTGCGGCGTTGGGTGAGGTGGTGCAGGAGGTGCCGTAGGGGACGGGGGTGCTGCAGGCACATGAAGCGATTGAGGCGCTGGAGTCGGCGTTTGCGGCGTTGGGTGAGGTGGTGCAGGAATCGCCGTAGGGGACGGCGTGGCGGCAGGTGCCGTAGGGGATGGCGTGGCGGCAGGTGCCGGAGGGGACGGCGTGGCAGCAGGCGCTGGAGGGGACGGCGTGGCGGCAGGCGCTGGAGGGGACGGCGTAGCGGCAGGTGCCGGAGGGGACGGCGTGGCGGCAGGTGCCGGAGGGACCGGCGTGGTGGCAGGTGCCGGAGGGGACGGCGTGGCGGCAGGCAGCACAGGCGGGGATCTCAGAGGCGTTGGGGAGGGTGGGGCAAGGGGCGCCGTAGGGGACGGCGCTGCTGGAGGGTTGGGGGGATGGTGGGCCATGGGGCGCCGTCGGGGGAAAAGGTGGTGGAGGGTTAGGAGGCTCCATCGTGGGGGGGGGTGACGGGGCAGCGGGCACAGTTGGGGGAGGGTGGGACAGGGGGCACAGTCAGAAGATTTGAGGGATTAGGGGATGTAGGGGGTGGAGGGGGTGGGACATTTCTTCTCTCAAGGCCTGTAATTTTGTGGCTTCCCCCCCACCCTGAATGATTAACACCAATAAACTGTCGGAGCATCCTGCGGTCTCTTGTCTCTGTCCATGTGTCTGTCTCCCTCCTCTCTGTCCGTGTGTCTGGACTTTACACAGCGTGGGAGGCCTCCCAGTCTCCCTGGCAGTGCCTCCTTCATCGGGCCAGGCCTGGGCCCCCACTTTTTTGCCTGGGGCTCCCCCTGAGCCCAGACCCCTGGCACAGAGCTCACCCCTTTGGGAGAGAAGCAGGGCAGCCTTTCCCAGACACCCAGTTCGCCATGGATTACCCTGGCCATCTGCTTCCATCTGCTGGTGATGTGAGGTAGACACATGAAAAACACAGTGGGCAGACCCCAGTTTGCCCTGCCGGCCCCCCACTGGCTGGATCTGACGGGAGGGAAGCTCAGAGGGGGATGAGAAGGGGTCGGGGCAGATCTGCCCTGTGAGCTCTGGGCGGGTCAGATGCCTGTTGCTAAAGCCCGTGCTTCATAAGACAATTCAGAGGAGAAGAAACGGGTTTCTGTTCCAGGAAGGCGGCTCCAATCAAACACAAGAGAAACCCAGTAAAGCTTTAAAATCTGGACAATGCGCAGGGATGGGATTGTAGCAATCAGAAAGAATTCTATTTAATGGAAAATTGCAAGGATCGTTCAACCCCACAATCAGGAAGTGACAGGGAAAGACTTGTGCGTCCCTTCCCAGCTTCCCATTGCCCACAATGCTGCCCATAACTCTCCTTTCATGGCCTTCCCCGACAGATACCCAAGAACTATCCGTCCCCAGCGCCACCGAACCTGCAGGGAAGGCAGAACCGACAGGGACCTCTCCTGGGTCCGGGCACAAGGATGATGCCAGTGCATGCACTGTGTGGCTGTGGGACGGGCTGCTGTAACGGAGATGTAAGCAGAGGGGTCACTGCTCAGGGGCTGCGTTAGTGGGGCAGTTCGGGGCACATAGTGCACAATCTTCACTCACCTCCCAAAGCGCTCAGGGAAATTGGCTGTGGCCAGGAGCAGCCGGGCCTGCGCGGCACCAGCCGATCTGGAGCAGGCTGACGAGGGACACCTGCCCGTGGGCTGGCTGCCACAGCAGCCAATGCTAGGGACTGGATCAACAACGCCAGGCTCGCAGGCTGAGCCTTGTCACAGACTCCCCGGGTCTGTGTGTGGGGCAGGAGGCCGACCGCAGACCCACCCTGGGGCTTCCACAGGCAAAGCATGCGACAAACATCTGACATGTGTGTGTCAGGGATTCACACCGTAACTGACCCAGCGACCAAGTTGTGAAGCACAAACCTGTTTTCAAGGGGGCTTTTCACTGAACAAATCACATGAAACCAGAGCATGGTAGTGCCTCGGACCCCAGTCCTGGACCAGGCCCCATCGTGCTAGGCGCTGCACAAACCCAGAAGGAAAAGACACTCAGCCCCTGTGTCAAGGTTCCTTCCCCACTCTGAACTCTAGGGTACAGATGTGGGGACCTGCATGAAAGACTCTCTAAGATTATTCTTACCAGCTTAAGTTAAAAACTTCCCCAAGGTACAAACTTTGCCTTGTCCTTGAATCGTATGCTGCCACCACGAAGCATTTTAAACAAAGAACAGGGAAAGAGAACGCTTGGAGACGTCTTCCCCCAAAATATTCCCCCAAGTCCTACACCCCCTTTCCTGGGGAAGGCTTGATAAGAATCCTCTCCAATTGGTACAGCCCCAAACCCTTGGATCTTCAGAACAATGAAAAATCAATCAGGTTCTTAAAAGAAGAATTTTAATTAAAGAAAAGGTAAAAGAATCACTTCTGTAAAATCAGGATGGTAAATACCTTACAGGGTAATCAGATTCAAAACATAGAGAATCCCTCTAGGCAAAACCTGAAGTTACAAAAAGACACAAAAGCAGGAATATATATTCCATCCAGCACAGCTTATTTTACCAGCCATTAAACAAAAGAAAATCTAACACATTTTCTAGCTAGATTACTTACTAACTAACAGAAGTTCTGAGGCTGCATTCCTGATCTGTTCCCAGCAAAAGCATCACACAGACAGACAGACCGTTCCCCACCCCCTCTCCAGATTTGAAAGTATCTTGTCTCCTCATTGGTCAGGTGTCAGCGAAGTTATCTTAGCTTCTTAACCCTTTACAGGTGAAACGGTTTTGCCTCCGGCCAGGAGGGATTTTATAACCTGTATACAGAAAGGTGGTTACCCTTCCTTTTATATTTATGACACCCAGCATAGATCAGCAGCCAGGTTTCAATCCCTCAGATCCCCAGCTTGTTCTCTGAGCTCCAGGAGCAATTACTGGCCCCTTCCTCAAGGAGCCACCAAAGAAGGACATGGGCAATGCTGTCTCAGTGGGTTACCCAAGCAGTCACTTGTCAGCAGTAGCAAGTTAGCACCCAGGAATCCTGGATTCTTTCCACCCCTGGTTCTGGGAGAGGAGTGTGGCTTAGTGGTTAGAAATCTGAGACTCTAACTTGGATTGGTCATTCTGAAAGACAAGATGGGGCCGTAGCAGATCAGAGTGGCTTCTGTGATCTTAGAGACCTGGGTCTTGGAAATGTTTAGCCATTTTTCACACACCCCATTTTTGTCATCAAATTGAAATTTGGCAGCTTCAAACTGAGGCACAAAATTCACCGTGATCACTTTAAAGTATTTTTCAAAAACCCACATGTGAGTACTTAAAAATGGTATTCTTGGAGACCATAGACCTCGTCTGTGAACTATGATATCTGCAAATGTCACACACACACACACACACACACACAGAGTCCATCACGGGAGATTCACTATCCTTGCCACTGCCCAAACACAAACGTGTTGCACACAACCCTCCCTCTGGTGTCACTGCACCTCATCCAGACACATTCCAGCCTCTGGTTACGTTTTGCTTTTTGAAACTTGTTCAGGGCACTGATCAGACACCAGCCTTTCCACTGTGGAGGGTGGGAAGAATGATCCTGGGGGTGATGCCTGGGTCTGGGTGCCAGGACACCTGGGTTTTAGCCTTAGCTCTGCCCCTGTCTTTGGCAGGTCCCCTCCTGTCTGGGTGCCTCAGTTTGCCCCTCTGTAAGCTGGATCTGTAACATCTGTGAGGTTTCTAAGGCAGCTAACAACCAGCGCAAATCTGAAGGCAACCACAGAAATGACACCCCACCAGTGTGTGCCCAGAGCCAGTGCCCACACGTGACTGATGTGACAGGGAAGTATGTCCGCACAGCAACTTTAGGGTTGCCAACTTTCTAAGAGCAGAGAACTGAACACCCTTGACCCACCCCCTGCCCCACCCCTTCTTCAAGCTCCTGCCCCCACTCATTCCATCCCCCTCACTCGCTCTCCTCCACCCTTGCTCACTCGCTCATTTTCACCAGGCTGGGGTAGGGGGTTGGAGTGTGGGAGGGGGTTTGGGGAATGGGGTCTGGGGTGGGGGCAGTGGGTTGGGGTGTGGGAGGGGCAGGCTCTCGCCTGGGGATTTGGGCTCTGGGGCGGGGGCATTAATGAGGAGTTTGGAGTGTGGGAGGGGGCTCCAGGCTGGGGTAGGGGGTTGGGGTGCGGGAGGGGGTTTGGGGAGTGTGCTCTGGGGTGGGGGCAGTGGGTGGGGGGGCGGGCTCTGGCCTGGGGATTCGGGCTCTGGGGCGGGGGGCAGTAATGAGGGTTTTGGAGTGTGGGAGGGGACCCCAGGCTGGGGTAGGGGGTTGGGGTGTGGGAGGGGGTTCGGGGAGCAGGCTCTGGGTGGCGCTGACCTCAGGCAGCTCCCAGGAAGTTGTGACATCTCCCTCCAGCTCCTAGGCAGTGGCACGGCAATAGGGCTCCACATGCTGCTGCTATACACAGGTGCTCATAGAATCATAGAATATGAGGGTTGGAAGGGACCCCAGAAGGTCATCTAGTCCAACCCCCTGCTCAAAGCAGGACCAATTCCCAGTTAAATCATCCCAGCCAGGGCTTTGTCAAGCCTGACCTTAAAAACCTCTAAGGAAGGAGATTCTACCACCTCCCTAGGTAACGCATTCCAGTGTTTCACCACCCTCTTAGTGAAAAAGTTTTTCCTAATATCCAACCTAAACCTCCCCCACTGCAACTTGAGACCATTACTCCTCGTTCTGTCATCTGCTACCATTGAGAACAGTCTAGAGCCATCCTCTTTGGAACCCCCTTTCAGGTAGTTGAAAGCAGCTATCAAATCCCCCCTCATTCTTCTCTTCTGCAGGCTAAACAATCCCAGCTCCCTCAGCCTCTCCTCATAAGTCATGTGTTCCAGACCCCTAATCATTTTTGTTGCCCTTCGCTGGACTCTCTCCAATTTATCCACATCCTTCTTGTAGTGTGGGGCCCAAAACTGGACACAGTACT